GTAGTTTTGTTTTCTTGGGCTGAGAGACCTGAAATATTTCTTGTTGAAAACTATTCAAAACCAGTCTCACTTGAACGCAAAAATATTCAGAAAGTAAATTAAAGTTTTAGAATGAATCTCTTGACTTTTCTTTTAAAGCATATCACATAGGATTCAGATTTCTAATCTTTTTCATTATTCTTGGAGTGGGGTTAAAAACTCTAGATTATTCTCCAACTTTTTCTGGAGATAAAGTTTCTAGGTGAAACTTAATTTTATGAGTCCATTATAAATAAGATCTCAGAACATAAAGACTCTTTGTGAGGAACAAAGAGGATGGCTTTTTAAAAAAAATAATGCCTTATGTTGTTAGACATTTTTCAGTTCGGAAGAAATTCTTGATGGCTAATTTTTTCAAGGAATTAGGTTAAGTGAATCAGAAGAATTACTAAATTAGAATCTTTAGAAACCAAGGTAATGTAGTTTTCTTTCTGGGGCTATTAAAGTAAGACCAATTTAGTAATAGTCAACCTATATGGTATTTTAGAGAATTTTCCAATTTTCACTTTAATAGATGTAATCAAATATATAGAGATGTTGGAAGACAAGAGCATCAACCAATGCCAGGAGGGTAGGGAAGTGTGAACTTCTAAAAGTGCCTTACGATTTTCGGTAAGTCATAGTATTACCACATTACTATTAGCACATCCCCAATATAGCCACTCAGTTTTTCTTACAAAATAAAATGGGTCAGAAAAGAAATTTAGAAATTCTAGGCTCATATATTATGTAGTTGCCTTATTTGGTGCTAAGCTGTATTTCATTTAAAGATGTCAGAAACAGACATCATGTAAGTTAGTCTCCCCCTCCCCCCTTCTGATCACTTGGGAACTGGGAGTTTTCTTTACCTTAAGGGAGAGCCTGAACATCAAAAAGTGGAAAGAATGTCTTTGGATTGTTTCTTTTTGCGCTTCTTTCTAAGTAACAACAATTTTGAGTCAAGGGGCTTCTTGGTACTGAGTCAGTCACCTTGCTAACCTACTTCTTTCTCATGCTTTGTTCTGGGCGGTTATAGCCATTATCCTATTGTCTTTGTAGGTGCCAAATGGAGATGTAGATCCTGAAACCTTTCCATTTTCTGAATATTTTATACAGTACACAGCTTTGTAGACCCACTATATTTGAATGGTAGTGAGTCCTCCTAACCGTCTACAGTGGTGAGACTGAAAGTCAATCTGGATAAAAAGAAAGAAAAAGAGCCTTTAGAAATAGATACAATTTGTTCTTATTCTGTCTATACTCAAGAGAAATAAAATGTACTTTAAAAAGTTTTTTAGGTCCCTGTTGATTATTTCACTGGCTAAGATAATTTTTCATCGGTGGTTTATCTTAATGCCATTTAAAAGTGATAATATTTTGTGGCGCTGACAAAGTTATTCTAAACGTTTCCCCCCTGTAGAGAGCTAGAAGTCTGTATAACTCAAAACTTTGGTAGAAAGAAAAATCTAGATTTTATTTAAATAAAACTTAACCCCTGGGCCATTCAATGTAGTGTTTTTCTACTAAGTCAAGTTAGCATGTAAACGATGAAAATATAACCAGAAATGTAACAAGGGTATTTAATGCTCATCAAATTTATTTCTACAATATTGCAATGGATTCGGAACCCTGAATTCCAACCAGATGTACTTCTGGAGTATTACACAGGTCATATATATTTCATTTTTTTTTTTTTTTTTTTGGTTTAAACCCAGGAGACTGACACGATAATTAGATTGAGAACATCTGCACCAAATCCAAACCATTTCCCTGATCCTTCCTTGATCCTTCCCCATAGGAGGAATTTTTTTTTTTAAGTCCCTGCACATTTTATTCGTCTAGCCATCTTTAGGGCAATCCGGAGGTCTCCTCTGCCTGCCACCGCACACATAGGAGGGGAGGGCAGAAGTACTAGCAACTGTGGCATAGGAGAGAAATCGTTAGATGTGGCATTTCGTCGGGACAGAAATCATCAGAGGCGGCAATGCAGTTTCCCGCCGGGGGCCTGGCTCTGGGACAGGGCGTGGCCTGGCTCGCCGCGCGCCAGTGGGCACGTGCCCCGGGACCGGAGGACTGGAGTGTCAGGGAGCCTCTGCCCTCTACCGGGCAGCGCTGTTGGAGCTGCAGTGCGGTCGCCGGCCGACTGCGCGCGTCTCAGGTGCCTCACACCCAGGCTGCCCGCCGCGTCCCGAGGTCAGGAGTGCCCTGTCTGAAGCGGCGTCGCAGTATCTGTGGCGGAGGCTCCCGACGCGCCCCCGGCACCAGTGCGCTCCCACCCGACTGCTCCCTGCCCCTTCTGCTGGTCAAGGCTGCGATGTGAACACAGAAGGAACTCCCCTCCAGACCTCAGGAACTGCGAGCTGATTCAACTGAGGCTCCTGGTCAGCGGTGTGAGACTTGGGGTCCCGTGTGTTCTCTGAGTCCTAGGGACTTTCATTTCCAGTCATTTCATTCAAATATGCTGAATTCACTCCAATGATCAATGTCCAATCTTCAAATTCAGTTAAAGAACAGTTATATCTCACATGTTTTATTTTGTATTCCATGCAGATTTTATTTACATATAACTTTCAAGATTAAGTTATTTGGGGATTTGTTTTAACTAATTACATTTTAAATGAAGTGCAGGAGAGTAAAAGTGCAGTATTCCTACTGGAAACTCTAAAACTCACACGTGTACATAATCAATTAAAGATGACGATCATAAAACGTGTGCTTTTGCCAGGTTTCTGCAAAGAAAAAAATCAAGAGAATTGACTTTTTGGTTTACATTTTAGCACTTATGTAAACTAGGGACCATCTTTCTGTTATAAATTCCCCAACGCTTTCCAAGTTTCTGCACCCAAAGGAGTGAAAATCGAAGTAACCGAAATACGGGAAGTTTCTAGGGCTGTTCAGCTGAAGCGGTGCGGGGGGTTACGGAGCTGTGCTCCAAGACTTTTCTTGTGGCCTCAGCTGGCACAGCTCGGGAGAGTAGGGGCCACTCGGACCCCGGCCACCGGGGTTGCGGTGCCGTGCAGAGACCACGCAGCCACTTTGCGGGGAATTAACGTGTGCGGCGACAGGGTTAGGGTTGGCTTCCCCCAACTGCAGTCCCAACATGAAACGCTGTCCCTGGCGGACTCGGTCTCTGAGTCCGGCTGGGGCGAAGCGGGTGGCTGTACGGCCAACACGCTCAGCATATGCCCGTTGCTGTGGGCTTCGGCTGCGCGGAGTCGCGGCTCGGGCAGGTGGTCGCGGCGGCTCGGCTCGCCCGGCGCCCTGCAGGCGGGCGAACGAAAGCTGCGCTGTTTCCGCGCCCGCCCTAACACAACAGCAGCCTCTAACCG